CAGTCTCAGCTGGCTGGAAAACAACAAAAGCTTGGGGCCAACAATCCACATGACATATATCCTTTACATGCCAAGGTGGATGCTCTCAAATGTTGTCACCGACAAATCCGGCGCGCTGGTCGTGTCTGTAAGCCACTTGTCTATGTAGAGGCTTATGTTGAAAAGACTCAATCCAACAACTGGGCACCTTAAAGGCCCTGTGGGCGAGAATGAAATGCCTTGCAGCAATTCATGATACATGTGTGCAGAGTCACATAGTTGCTAACGCCGCATCCAGCAAGCAAAGGTAAGCCTTCAGCAGGAAAGAAGCGGCAGCAGTGAAGCAAACGCCTTGACCCTAACTGGTGATTCCGAAGCCGGTGTGGCAGAGTTGCAGCATAAAACCCTTGAGTTGCACGGACGTGCGGACTGAGTCAAGCTAGATTCAGGCTACCTGTGTTCACGCACGTGGAAAGTAAGTAGTTGCTAATGCCCCATGTTGCAAGCAATGGTAAGCGTGTCCACGCGACTCTTGAGTTGCACGGACGCGGACTGAGTTTGCCAACAACTGCCAAGCTGGACTGAGACTACTGTAAGTGGCAACGCCACAACCGTGTGCAAAATGATTTCTCTGTGGGTTTACTCCAGCAACGTCTGACAGCGACATGGTGCCAGTGTCCTGTGCGGGTGTTCGTGCTCGATGCCACCCTCCGAGGCCCCACGGCCTCCAGTGTCACGCTACTGCCGCCATCGAAGCTGCTATGACAGTGTCGCAACTGCACGTTCTTCTGGTTATTGTGCGACTCAGTGTCGCCAACCGTGTTGTCGCCCTTCTCATACAACCGGTGCGCCATCAGCATCAGGTCCGTTGCCCCGATATTTGCGGGATATTTGCGCTGCTTCATCCCAGGACCTGTCGTCTCTGCCGGAGAGCATCGGCGCATCTGCACAGACTTTGCGCGCTGCAGCGAATGCAGGTGTTCAGGAAAACGTCAGCGGGCCGACCTGTTTATGCTTGGCGCTTCTGAATGCAAATTGCCCGTGGTCGCGGCGTGGAGCACCAATCTTTTAATGGCCCTGCCAACCTGTTGCAACTATGGTCCGTGGACCTGCTGGGTGTTCAAGAAATTCGCGTGCCTGACGGTACATCGCTTCACGTTGAACAGCCATACCACTATGACAGCCCAATGGGTAGGGGTGGATGCGAAAAGGGTTTCTTGTTCATTCCGCATCCAACTCTTGGAGTGTTTCAGCTGCCTCACCCTCGTCGCGTATACGTTGGAGAGTTTTGGCATCGCCACCTGATGAGGTCCAAGTTGTGGTGCGGAGCTACTATGCGCTGCATGTTGTTCCTCGTATCCCTGCAGTGCCCAACTGCGGAGAATCTTGCAGTGCCCAACACTATCCCTGCAGTGCTCAATGGCAACGTATTCCTGCAGCGCGCAACCACAGAACATCCCTGCAGTGCCCACACGCAGAGTAGACCTGCAGTGCGCTACCGCAGAGATGCGCAGAGTATCCCTGCAGTGCTCAATGGCAATGTATTGTGTCAGCGCGCAACCGCAGAGTATCCCTGCAGTGCTCAATCGCAGAATAAGGCAGAGTATCCTTGGGTACCCCTGCGGCGCCCACGGCAACATATCCTTGCAGTGCCCAAACCCACAGTGTCTCTGCAGTATTCAAAGGCAAAGTGTCCTTGTCATGCGCAGCCCTTGCAATGACTGCAGTGCCAAAATGCAATATTCTTGGAGCGCGTTTGCAATGCTGCAAGGAAGACAGTTTAGGGGCGGGTAGGGAAACATTACGTTTCTTGTGCAATAACGGCTTTAGGCTGGGGATGCTCGAAGCAAAACATTTGTTCCTCCGGAATTTTCCGACTGCATGAGCCTGATCCCCGAACCCAAGCCCCAACTACAGCTACGCCGACGCCCTCAGCGGCAAGCGACTTAGCTCGGGCCCTGCACGTGGCTCAAGCAGCTTGTGTGGGCGGGGGCGTCATAGCAGACGCGATGGAGACGGAGGGCCATGCACGAGCAAGGGCCGTGATCCCTGAGGCCTGTTGCGCCGTTACTGACAGGATGCCTCACTGCTCCTCCAACCTGGATGTCGCACAGCAGGCGGCGTTCGGCAAGCCCGGATGCGGAGCGCATCCCGCACGAATCGCAGCGCATCGCCGTTCCGGCACCCCACCTCCGAGCCGAGCACAACTAGCTTTTGCAGCCCGCGGGTCCGCGGCGCAAGGCTGCGGTAGCCTCGTGCGAATGAGAGGACGCCAAGGTTGCGTCAGCGCCATAGACCAACAAGTCCAAGCGGCGCCGGTCCTCAGCCGCGACCCGAGGGTACAGCCCTGCCACTGTTGTGGCACAACTTAGCCTTCAGGGCGGACGGCTTCGCGGGCAACCCGAACCCATGCCTGCTCAACTTTGGCAGACGGCGTCCACGCACATACCGGGCCTCATCGGCGGGCAACCGACTGCGCAGGGCAACTTGCATAGTTTGTGGGAAAACAGCGTCAGCCGGGATCTCAGTCAGCCATGCGCCTGCATGAGGGCCGGACAGGGACCGCAACAAGGCTTGGCGAGGAGGTGGCAAAGACAGCAACTGCACGCGGTTCACATTTGCTGCATACAGCACTTAAGCACGGTGGCTGCAGTCTGCGAAGCAAATTTTGTATGAACCATTTTAGGCCGAAATGCGCTGAATATGTTCAGCAAGTCAGGAACGTTCAAAGATTGAAAACCTTTTTGTTTTTTGAATGGCCTCAAAACCCATGTTGACACAACCCATTGTGCGTGGCTGCCAATCGTGCCCCGTGAATGTAAGGTTTTGGAGGCTTGTGCGGCTCGGGCATCGCCATTTTTGCATATGGGCGCTCAGCCTGCCACTGTCATTTTTTGTTGGTCTTTTGCACCCGGTTCTGCGCGGTCCCATTGCCGAGAAAGATCGAGAAAGGCCAAATCCAAGTCCAAGGCCACATGCGGCAGTCCAAGGCAACATTTTAAACATGCCGAGGTGCTTTGCCGATTTTGTGCCATTGGTCCCTAGACACTTGAACAGGCGCAATCTGAATGTGTGTGGGCGCATGACAAACTGCGGCAACACCTGCGCCGCCGCCAGTTTCAAATTGTGTCGATTCTTACGAATATTCGATTTCCGGCAGAAAGCAATTCTGCTAGCAATCCTATGTGGAAGCATGACGTCAACGACCATGAGTCGTGGTCAACGTGTGAAGGAGTCGTGTCCGGAAACGACCTTGTGTCACGGTCAAGGCTGGGTAGCTACGTTGCAAATGCATGGTTGGCGATCATCAGAGAGGAGCAACTATGGACATAACCCGCAAAGCTGGAAAGCAACAGTTCGAAACCATACATTTTGCACTCCACGAATTGAGCAGCATTTGCAGATACTATTCGCATCAAACCGTGCCAAGAAAACACTGAAACCTGTTTCCCCAAGAGATCAAGGAGCCTACACTGTCTACACATTGAAAAGCTAACGCAAATGCCCGGGCCGTAGCACATCTCTCTCGTAGGAGAGCCCTCCCTGCCAATTTTGGCTGGGTGGTGGAGGGGCAGAGGCGGTAAGCCAAAAATACTGCAGAGGCACTGATGAGGAAGTGTGATGACTATGTGTGCTACCGCAGCACTTGTCACTTCAAGTATTCCACGGAATCGTGCTCACGAAAATAGCAACTAGCACTGCGTCTCATTTCTCGCACGGATCACTGGCAATGCAAGGTTCGGCAAGAAACTGGAAATTGTTGATCTCGCAGGCAGTATTGACATCCGGGGTTCTTGAAAACAATGTGTGCAAAGCCATTGCCCAAAAATGGCTCTAGTTGCCGGGCCTCTGCAAAGCGAAACCTACAAAGCATGCTCAAGAGAATCACGTCCACTTTGTCGCTCGCACGGCTGGTCTTTGAGTTCCTTCGCTGCCCTCGCCCAGCCTTCACAGAATCGGCGAAGAGTTCGGCAGGAGTATCATGCGGGTTTCCATGCCGGGCAAAGGGCCCATCAACGAAGCAACGATTGCCGCAACGCGCAGGACGGTGACCTGGTGGCATTCTCGGAGATATGATTCTGTGAGGCTACTTGGCCTTGTCGTGCCATGTTGCACCGGCAGCGTGTCCACGCGCAAGCAAGCGCATGACGGTGGTTGCCTCGGGTACTCGGCGAGCTGTGGCCTCAATGCCGCCCAATGCCAAACAAGCATTTTGGCCAAAGAATGTTGAAGGATGCGAGACCCAAAGTCCTCGAGTTGCCCTCAAGTGACCGCACAATAACATTCAATAAATGCAACCGACAATTATTCCTCCAAGAGGGCAGAGGAAAAAGTGCGGTCTCAATGTGCAATGAGGAGCCTGATCTGGAGTCAAACGTAAAACGCAAAAACGCAGCGGCATGTCTTAGCAAGTACCCCCCCCCCTGACACTGTACACCATGAAAAGGCAGGGAGATGCAGGGAGGGAAGGTTTTGCGGTGTGGGAGCCAAAGTTTTGGCGAACGGCTCCCACTCCGGGGCATCATGAGGGAGCCTTCTCGCGGGCCATGTGCTTGTGCCGCTTGCCGATCAGCTGCTGCGCCCTGCAGGTACCGAAGCGCTTCGCCATAGGGGGGACATGTTGCCACTGTCGAGAGTGCAGACACCGGCGGGCAACGACAAATGAGACGATTGCAGCGGGACACGTCTGCCCTACACAGCTTGACACGAGAGCACCACAGGTAAAGAGCAATGATCTGCATTCTCCAACATAGCGCCAGGGCTGATTTCATGCCGCCTGCCAGTCAGAGGTCAAAGCACTCGAGCCCTCAAGCTTGTTGAAAAGCCATAGTTGCCCTACTGCAGGAAGCAGAAGTATGCTGTAGCGAAGTATGCCTCTGACTTCAAACCCAAGACTCCAACAATGCATGTGTGGCTTTTTGCTCTCTAAAGCCTCTCTAGGCCGCGAAAGCATCCAGCGCAACGTGGAGCACGGCCCACCTGAACCCAAGGTCGCAAATGAGGTATGTAAGCGAGCAGCACTACCATGCGCTACCCCAGGCCGCGGGATGCCGGGAGCCATGCAGCGGCCATCTCGTGCTCAACGCTAGATCCAGCTCGGCTCCGCTACCGATGACCTGCATTGCATTGCAAAGCCACTGCTTACTTTCTTCCAGCACGCCAACCTGCTTGAAGGCCCGCTGCAGCACTTCCAGGAGCTGCGCCCGCTCCTCAGGCATGCTTGCTGAAGCCTAGCCACCGAATTTTGCCAAGATGTCCTGGACATCAGGCGATGCCATGGCCTTCGATTCAAACACGCTCATCAGAGTTCTTGTGCTACGCAACTGCTAGTGGTGTGTGAGTCAGCCTGTGTTGCCAAAGCCGTCAAGGGAGCCAAGGCACTCTGACCCTAACACAAGTCAGCTTTCCCAACTTGTCGGCCTAGGCATGAGGAGACGATCAGGCAACAAGCCTGTGGAGTCGTTGACAAGAACCGGGTCGCAGCTTCCTGGGCCGCCTGCAGGAGGCTTGTAGTCTTTGGTTTGAGCCCATACAACTTGGGGGTTAGGAGAACAATAGCTACGTCAGGTACTTGCGAAGATGTACGCCTGCGCGCGAAGAAGCTCTTGAAAGAGTTCTGGCTTGGAGTCAACGGCTTTAGAGCTTGCAAGGGTGTCAGGTAGAAGCTAGGATCATGGAAAGCATGATTACCGTTTTATCCTGGTAGAACTCAAGAAGATGTATTCAAGCCCATTCAGATCTGTTTACGTCCCCTGAAGAGCCTAAACCTTAGAGGTAGCATCAGCCCTTGCAGACCTTAAACCATCTTCAACCCTACACACTTAGAAGCCGTTATACATCCCAACTCTGTTCCCGTGTAAGCCCTTCTAAACCCCAAAATGTGTTCCCTTAAAGCCCTGATAACCCCACAGTAATGCAAACAATTACCAAGCCTTTCTTGAGGATCCCCCTTTAGGGACACCCCGCTCCCTCTTGACCCAAAAAACCTCGCAGCCGAGGTCAGAAGCAGATCCCTTTAGCTCAAACTTTCGCCTTCTTTGCGTCTTCTTCTGAGGCTTTTAACACGTCCGCATAAAGAGAAAAACGAGCAAAATTCCCCACCCCCCTTGCAAGCTGTCGCTTGATAAGAAACTCAGCTAGCCCCGGGGGCTGGCTGTTGTGACATGCCCACATATGCACACCGTGATGTGAGGCCCTGCCTCTCCATCTTTGGCGGTCAAAGCGGCAAGAAGCTGCGCCTGTCAGGTCTCACAAACATGTCAATGACAGCAGAGTCGAATGTCACGCCTGGAATTGCCGTCCAGGCATATCATCCAAACCATCAACTCGTTCATCATTCACTGCCTGTGCGAGGTGGTAGATCCGTCGTGGCCAAAAGCTTTGCCCACCCTCCACAGCTCGCACCCCAAATCAAGGAGGTAGACCCCCTTGCTAGAGCTCAACTACACAGGAAACAGCATGGACGCAGGACCTGGAAGTGGCAAGGACATCTGTTCCGGAGTAATATCCAGCAATGGCTATGGCTCTGAGCATGTGACTCCAATCTGTTGCTTGCGCAAATTAATCTGCGCCAGCCTATGGCAGGGATTTTGGATGAGTACTTGGATGAAGATTGTTCAAGAGTAGAGGCTGAGCACGGCTGAGCTCAGGACAGGGCTATCAAGGGCCACCCAGTCTGGGCCAAGGCTACCTTTGAGAGATAGTTCTGCCATTTGAGAGAAAAGGTTTCAGGCATGGCCATACAAGGTGGGCGCCAGTGGCATATCTAGCAGCATGGTTAGCACCTCAGGCACTGCTTCAACTGTTGAAAGTCGAGACCTCCACAGCAGTTAGTGACAAGGCTGTTGGGGCAATCGCTTCGGCAGAGTTCAACTGATCCGTCCCTGTGGTATGGTGAAGCTCTGCTTGGATACCGACTGGCGAGGCGAGCTGCTCCAAGGCAGTGAAAAGTTGCAGCAAGACCTTCATGCTCAGCTTATGAGTCCGTGCATAGAGACTCTGAATTTGTCTGGCCTGAGGTTCGTCAACCGCTGCAAAAGAGAAAAGTTGAAGTGTCCTTTGGCACGCACAAGCGGTAGGACGTTGAAACGACAACACATACCCACGGCCTGAGACCTGAGACCTGAGACCTGTATGCGTAAGCTTTGGTCAACTTTCCGAGACCGCACTCGTCAGGTGCCTATCACATGAGGATTGAGGTGAGGCAAGCCGGAGCTCCGCGCCCACATGCGCCCACTCTGTCCTCGCCTGAGGTGCCATAGCACCAGCCGACACGAGAATCTGTAACCCAGACTCCATGGCGCCTGACCTGGAGACTTCACAAGTCTAGAAAAGGACGCTTGCACGAAAATCTGAGCTTCGTGCAACGACTCCCTGGCAATCGGCTGCCATGGCCTGCAGTATTCCACGTGTCATGAGGTGTCGGCAGGCTCATCATGGACGGTAAGGCCGGTTCAAATTGTCCTGAAAGATCCGTCGAAACTGCTGCTTTGCAGCACCTAGCACAACGAAGGCCCTGCTTCGCGGTCTCAAAAACAAGTCATCCAGTTGCACCCCAGACTTGGCGCTGAGATCCAGCAGTGCAGGCAAGATCTTCAAGCGTCCTGCAGGTTGGATTAAACAAGAATACGCTCAAGCACTTCTGGCTGTGGTAGGTCCTCTCTTCACTGCTTGGCACCTGCTCAGAGCAACAATATCTTATGTTGCGTTTCTCGCCTTCGCTACCTCAGCCCCAGCCACTCCCCTGCCCAGGTCCAGCCACACTGGAGCGGTCAAAAGTCAGGAGACAAAGGGAAAGTGATTATGTCGTTCATACAACAGTTTGTGATGCTACATCCCCTGTCCTGAGCGCACCCCGACTCCGCCTCACCCTAGACTTCTGAGAGTTGACAGCTCCAGAAGTTTCAAGGTCTCAGATTTTTGGAAGGAAGGGTGTCAACCAAAACTGAACATGTCGCCGGAACCCAAGGACTTGAAGGGGTCCTGCCTCGCCGCGTGCTGAGCGCCGGTAAGAAATAGATGAAGGCAACTAAAATGTCTGATGCTAATTACAGCTCACTAAATTCACAATTAGCTGATCTTAGGCCGCATGCATTGTGCAGCTGGCGGCGTACGTTGATCAGAGTCTACTGTTCGCTTGCCAGCGCGCGAAGCCGAATGGTAAGAAAGACTCAGCGGGGCGGACATGTTGCCCTTGGATACGATGCATTGCATCACGATTGTCAGCTTGACCATGCCTGAGGACAAGTGCTCCCGGTGCTAGGCGTGGAAGCCTTCTGCGCAGGCAAAGATGTGGTACGCGCGCAAATCTAGCTGGAGAAACCAAAAAGAACCACAGCTGATCCTGCAAAGCACCAAGCAGCATGAAGTTCTGTCGCTCAGTGTGCAAAAGTGCAGAAGACATTGAATATTGCACGGCACTCTGCTGCAACATTCTTTGAAGCGACGACGGAGAGTCTGGCAGACACGAGTTCCTGCGGAGTTCTCCGAAAACGCGCTACGGATTTTTTGCTGAGCAGTTGTTTCTTCGGGTACATTCGGACTCTCAATCACAAAATCAACAAAGGAAGCCTCTGCTGTGATGTCAAACCCATTCTCCTTTTGGACCATTTTTCAATTAAACTAGAGAGAACAGGACCATCCAAACCTAATTAAAAACATCCCAGGTAGCAAGAAGATCATTTGATCGTACATTTCTCCCGCTCAGGAGCATCAGCAGGGCTGGGTTGGGCTTGGCTTTCACATGATGGCTGGGTGGGGTGGGCGCCGGGGTGAGGCATCAAAAAAAAACTTTATAAGCATCAAAAAAAAACTTACGCCCGGTGCATCAAAAAAAATTACAAGCATCAAAAAAAACTTTTGTACTAAATTTAGTAGGGGCTCGGACAACAGGCAAGCATCAAAAAAAAAACTCAATTTTGTTGCCATCTAAATAGAAGAAGTAGTAGCAGTATTGGTAGTAGGGCAAGCATCAAAAAAAAACTTAATTTTGGTGGCATCTAAATAGGAGAAGTAGTAGAAGTAGAAGTAGTAGTAGTAGTAGTAATAGTAGTAGTAGAAGTAGAAGTAGAAGTAGCAGTAGCAGTAGTAGTAGCAGTAGTAGTAGTAGCAGTAGCAGTAATAGTAATAGTAATAGTATTAGTAGAAGTAGTAGTAGTAGTAGTAGTAGTAGTAATAATAGTAATAGTAATAGTAACAGTAATAGTAATAGTAATCGTATTAGTATTAGTAGCAGTAGTAGTAGTAGTAGTAATAGTAGTAATAGTAGTAGTAGTAGTAGCAGCAGTAGCTCATAATGAAAATAGTCATGATAACACTAGTGTTGTTTCGACCATTATTCTCCCCCTACAGCCAACATGATGTATGATTGTTTTACGGTAAGCATGGGTGGTTTCGAAAAAGCGGGGGGGTTGGGGGGGGCACAGCCCCCCCCGTTTGCCAACAAAATGATCCGCAAATTCTATGGGTTTTAATGTGTTTTTGGTGTGTTTTTTTAAGGGTTTTAAGGTTTACGGTTTTTAGGGTTTAGGGTTTTTGGGGTTTAGGGTTTTAAGGTTTAGGGTTTTTAGGGTTTAGGGTTTTTGGGGGTTTAGGTGGGTTTTTAGGGTTTAGGGTTTTTAGGATTTAGGGTTTCAAGGGTTTCGGGTTTTAAGGTTTAAGGTTTTTAGGGTTTAGATGGTTCTATGGTTTTTACTGTGTTGTTGGTGTAGTTTTTAGGTGTTTTAAGGTTTAGGGTTTTTAGGGTTTAGGGTTTTGAGGGTGTATGATTTTAGAATTATGTTTTTAGGGTTTAGGGTTTTTAGGGTTTAGGTGGTTTTTAGGGTTTAGGGTTTTAGGGTTCAGGGTTTTAAGAGTTGTGTTTTTAGGGATTAAA